TCCCGATGCCCTAGCCACGTTTGCCTTGTGAGCTACTCCCAAAATAACGTCCGCTTCACTGTTTTCAGCTTCCACTGCATTTGCTTTTGCTGCTGCTGGTTGGTTTTGCTGCTGGTTTGCCCCTCGGTAGTTCCTGCTGTTGGGGTTCGAGTAGCAGTTGGCTGCCCTATGCCCAATTTTCTGGCAATAGTGACATGCCCCTGAAAATCCGCCTCTCTGCACCTTGTTATCGCCTCGAAACTCCCCCTCTTTCTGCTGCCCTCCATTTTGCAAGCCCTTCTGCTGCAGACCGCTCCACTTTCCCTTGAAATTTCTGCTCCTCGGGTTGTCATAGCAGTCTATCTGCTTATGACCCTTCTTCCCACACTGAAAACACACCCCAAAACCTCCGTATCCTTTCCCTGTCGCTGCTGCGTTTACCATAGCATGGGTGGCTGGTCCCATTCCGTTCAAGCTAATCTCCTTCCTGAGCCGATCAGCTTTCACCCGCTCCAGAGCTTGGAGCGTCTCTAACAGCTTGGTCATATTCGTGGGTGGGTTGCAGGTTAGGAGCCCTATCTCTGCTTCCCACTCCTTGGGCAGCCCAGTAATGATGTACCCCATCATTTCTCCTTCAGTTTCAGCTGCCCCCATAGCCTTGAGGTCGTCATTGTACCCCTTTGCTCGATTCATGTAGTCAATGACCCTCTCCCCTGGCTCCATACTCAATAGAAGGAGTTTCTTCCGAATGGCTGCTTTGTTCGTATCCGTAAGCCCAAGGTAGGCAGCTTCCATGTACTCCCAGGCTCGTTCGGCAGAGTTCTCCTCTCCCGCAAATTGATCCAGCCCCACTGCAATGTTATCCGAAACCGAATGACATAATTGAAAAAATGCTTGCTTACTCCTTTTTTTGAACGACGCATTTTCCTCTGGTTTTTCTTTTGCAGATGGTGGGACGCCCTCTCCCGTCTCCTTGTCGGGATGATAGTACGGCCAGAGATCCACTTCCTCCGCTCTACGAATGAACTTGAGTCGCCACGTGCTATAGCTTTCGCCATTGAATCGTTGGGCCTCGCTAAGCCCAATCGTTGGCTTCGCCGTCAATTTAGCTTGTGCTAGCGCCGCTAGGATGGCCTGTAGTTCTGAGCCTCCAATGCTCACAGAGGAGCCCGAACTCGCCTCTGTATGATCGCCCGTCATACTCAGACAATTCCGCCTATCCTTAAAACGCTAGAACGCGCCTTAAACCAGCTCTGATACCAGCTCTTGATTTCGCGCAGCCTTTAGTCTAGACTATGAAGACTATTTAGATAGTAGTATGCATAGGAAGCTCTAGCTTCAACTATGTGAAGGAATAGCGATGGTTCGTCCGCATTTTCGCGAATAAACTGCGGGGTAGGCCACAAGGACGCCCACACATTGTCATCGTCGGACTGGCGGGAGAAGAGATGCTTAGAGGGCCAGAATATCGCAACGAGAAGCTCGTCGGGAAGGTTGTTGATGTGCAAACTCGTCATGATGGCTCGGCTTTCAGGTTTTGTGGAAGTCCGCTCCTGCCTATATTCGAAAATCTCCAAAATCCGAAACCCGCAGCTGTTGAAAATGGTGGCTTTTGTCTTGGCGCTGTGCCTATGGGTTCCTCTATGCTTGCATCGGCTACTCTCTACCCTCTGCTCTCTACTGACTGCTGTGCTCCTACTCTCAGCTCGCCCCGTTTCTTTGTTCCACTTCCACCTCGTTACCCTCTCTCACGTGTGACTTCTTCATTTCAGCTCACTTCTTTTACAGCTTACAAGTTACATCATCATAACAAAGTTACAAATCTCGTTCTACCATCTGCTCTCCCTGATATGCGTTTCGCGAACAGTCGGCTGAATCGAGTTGCGTGAATTTCGGCAATCCCTGGAATCTGGGAGGTTCTTGTGGAACCGAGGGGAGAAGACACCTAGAGCCAATAAGAATGGTTCGTCCATACCTTGGATTGGTGGACCCAGGAGATTGCAAACACTCTTCGGTCCCACCACAAACAAAAGCGTCCCTCCAGCTTGGTTCATTCGGCGTCCAAACCAAGCTGGAGTCGGGCGTGTTCAAAGCGAAATCTAGACGGTGGGTTCGTCCTTCCAAAAGGCGCTGTTCCCCGTGGTTTCACTTTATTTCGCAGTCTTTCTTCGCAGTGCACCATCTTGCTTCGCTGCCCTTAAATCGGCTGTGATTGACGAAATGACGGTGGTACGACTTCGCTTCGCACGACCTCGTTACAGCGTCAGATTGACGGTCCAAAATAGATTTCACCTGTGAAAGCCGAACCCGATTCCAAAGAGTACGGCTTTACATCTCGCATTCGTCCCTCCCTTCAATCGAACTCAACCATTTCATAAAGCTTGTTGCGTATTTCCGTCCGTGAGGCACCCTCGTACAGCCTAACTCTGCATGAAGATCAAGAAAAGCAAAACCGAAACCTACGAAGGCGCCTACGACCTAGATCGCCCTCGCTGATCCTTCGCGAGAGCTGTGTCGAAGGCCGTGAATTTCGGTCGTGAAATTCCAAGCCGCGGACTTTTTCAAGTGTACTTCCTGTCCGTAACTCCTGGCGAACCAAAAAAATCGAGGCGAGGCCCGTTCCGTTGTTCGCTTGAACCCCCTAGCGACGTTTCGATAATCGTCGCACGGCGATCATGGACGGCAGAGGCCAGTCTTCGCACGCTCCCAGACGTCGCAGGAGCTTCGACGGAATTCTTCGCGAGCAGGCCACGGCGGCTCCCAGATTCGCACCCGCCGCTGTCGCCGGCTACGATGGCGGCCTGCGACGGCGACAGATAGGCAGACAGTCGCAGCAAACCGCGCAGCAGCCGTCGCAGCAGCAGCGCCGCCAGGAGCAGCAGCAGCAGCAACAACAACGGGGAGCGGACAGAAATGGCGGGGACATAGCCGAGAAGAGCGAGAAGGGCGGGGTGAAGAGCGAGAAAGTCGAGAAGAGCGAATCATTTGAGAGGAGCGAGAGCAGGAGGGGCGGGCGGTGGGGGTGCATCGACTCGTGCTGCTGGACCATGGGCAATGCCGTCTTCCTCTGGTTCCTGCTCATGCTCGCCTATCACCTCATGCCACGTCAGCAGATCCAGGCGATCCAGGACGCGCTCGTAGGACTCCCCGAGGTGGAGCCGCCCGGCGCGCGACTGGCGGCGGAAGGCGTGAAGGCGAAGCACCCCGTGGTGTTCGTTCCGGGGATAGTCACAGGTGGGTTTAGTCACAGCTCGGTGTAGTCACTTGTAAAAGGTGGAACCGCGCTCCCTCGCGCCCCTTCACTAACGTGTTGTTCATATTTTCTCAGCCCCTTCCCCCCTCCCTCTCCCTTCCCCCTCCTCCCTCCCCTCCCCCTCCCCCCTTCCGCCTTCCCTCCTCCATCGCTTAATCTCCATGCTCTCTCACTCTCCTCCCCCTCCCCACGTGCTCCATCCTCTCTTACTCTCCCCCCCTCCCCTCACCTGCTCTGCATACGTTCTCATCTCACCCCCTTCCCTGTCACCCACGTGGTCTGGGGCTGTATGGAGCATGGTTGTGTGCCACTACTGTGATGGTTGTGTGCCACTACTGTGATGGTTGCACCTTCCCTTTCCCCGTTCGTTCACTCGCGTCTTTCCCCCTCTCCCCCCATTCGACTAATTTTCCTCCCTCGCCTCCCTCCCCTCCCTCGCCTCCCTTCCTTCCCTCCCTTCCCTCCCCTCTCTCCCCTCCCTCGCCGGGTGCAGTAGTTGGAGGGGCGGCTGTGTGTGGCAGATCCAACATGATATCCCCCTTTCGTTCCGCTCTCCTCCTTCTTCCGTCCCGCCTCCCCCTCCGTTCCCCCCTTTCCCCCAGCGGGCTGGAGCTGTTAGAGGGGCGGCCATGTGCGGCGGACCTCTTTAGGGAGAGGCTGTGGGGGGGGGGTTGAATACCATTGTGAGGCGAATACCGCATGGCAGCGACAGTTTGTCTAGATAAATATGCAGGCTTGGGTGGTGCTTGCTTTTAAAGCCTTGTAAGAAGGTTGCTCCCTCCCCTCCCCTCCCCTCCCTCCCCTCAGCCCCCGTGCGGGCTGGAGCTGTGGGACGTGCGGCCGTGTGCGACTGACTATCGAGTCAGCTTAGAGCTTATACAAGATATTCCCCACTGCCCTTCCTCCCACTCCCATCCCCCGTCCTCCCCTCGCCCACCAGGCGGGCTGGAGTTGTGGGAGGGGCGGTTGTGTGCGGCTGGCCTTAGCTTGTTCATGATTTCCCAAATCCGCCTCTGGCCCAACCTTCCTGCTCCTTCCCCCCCATCCCCCTCTTCCTCCTCCCTCGCCTCCCTCCCCTCCCTCCCCCCAGGCGGGCTGGAGTTGTGGGAGGGGCGGCTGTGTGCGGCCGACCTTAGCTTGTATATGATTTCCCAAATCCCCCTCCGGCCCCACGCTCCTGCGCCATCCCCCCCTTAAACCTCCCTCCCCTCCCTCCCCCCAGGCGGGCTGGAGTTGTGGGAGGGGCGGCCATGTGCGGCTGATCTATTCAGAAAGAGGCTGTGGGGGGGAACCTTCGGGGATGCTTACAGAAGGTGCGTGGGCTCACTCCCTGGGAGGATGTGGCGTGTTGGGGAGGGTGTGATGTGGTCGTTTGTGTGTTCGGGGGAGGTGGTTATGTGGGGTGTTCAATTGTGATGGATACGGCCTTTCTGGCGTGATGAGGAGGATGTGAGTGTTGCAGGGGGTAGGGGTTGACCTCTTCAAGTGTGATAGATGCGGCCTTTTTAGCAGAAAAGACAAATATGGCTTCTGGCAAAAGAAGAGGCCTGAAGTGTTCTTGGTGAAAGTTGCAGATTTGCATCCGGCGAAAAGGGGAACAAAGGGACGTGCTCGTAGTCAACTAGAAGAGCTCATTTCCTTTTCTCTCGGTGTCCTCCCCTCTCCTGCCACCTGGCTGTTGGGTGCAAGGAAAGCAGGGTTAGGCTCGGTTGGGGCATTATGCCCATCCCCCCCTTCCCATCCATTCTCCTCGTGCCTCAGTGACCCAATGGCGCCCTCTTATTGCCAACCGGGCTGCTGGCTGGATGCGTGGGGGGCACTTGCTGCTGGAGAGGGGAACGGCACAGGGGGGCAGACCACCCGGGCAGACCACCCGGGCAGACCACCCGGGCAGACCACCCGGGGCATCAGGTTGCTCCGTCCCAGGAGTGCTTTGAGTGGCCTGTGCAGCTCATGGAGGTTTCCACACCTTTTCCCCCAATCTCCTCCCCGCTTTCCGGTTCCCCCCACGTCAGGCCCGGGTGTTGGATGGAGCACATGCTGCTGGACAACGAGACAGGCCTGGACCCGCCAGGCATTCGCGTGCGGCCCGTGTCAGGGCTGGTAGCTGCGGATTATTTCTTACCCGGTTACTTTGTCTGGGCGGTCATCATCGAGCAGCTCGCCAAGATCGGCTACGAGGAGAGGAACATGTTCATGGCCGCTTATGACTGGCGCCTCTCCTTCTACAACACACAGGTGGGGGGGCAATGGGTATATTGGGTGTGTTTGTGGGGGGGAAAAGGGAGGAGGGGTTGATGGAGGAGGGTGTGAGTGCACTCGTGTCTGTGTGTGCATGCATGTGTGTGTTTGCGTGTGTGTGTGCGTGCGTGCACGGCTGTGTGTGTGTGTGTGTGTGCGTGTGTGCGTGTGTGTGTGTGTGTGTGCGTGTGTGCGTGCGTGTGTGTGTGTGTGTGTGTGTGTGTGTGTGTGTGTGTGTGCATGCGTATGTTTGCGTGAGTGTGCCTACTCTCTCTCCCGCATGTGCTTCTAATGTCTGTCTGTGGTCTGAACTGCATGCATATCCCACACTTCCTCACTCCCCATGCACCCATGTGCAGAAGAGGGATCAAACGCTCAGTCGCCTCAAGGCCACCATTGAAATGCTCGTGCAGGTATGCTCGTGCCGGTATGCTCGTGCAGGTATGCTCGTGCAGGTATGCTCGTGCAGGTATGCTCGTGCAGGTATGCTCGTGCAGGTATGCTCGTGCAGGTATGCTCATGCCGGTTTGCTCAAGCCATGTGGTGTGACATGTGGTGTGACATGTGGTGTGACATGTGGTGTGACATGTGGTGTGACATGTGGTGTGACATGTGGTGTGACATGTGGTGTGACATGTGGTGTGACATGTGGTGTGACATGTGGTGTGACATGTGGTGTGACATGTGGTGTGACATGTGGTGTGACATGTGGTGTGACATGTGGTGTGACATGTGGTGTGACATGTGGTGTGACATGTGGTGTGACATGTGGTGTGACATGTGGTGTGACATGTGGTGTGACATGTGGTGTGACATGTGGTGTGACATGTGGTGTGACATGTGGTGTGACATGTGGTGTGACATGTGGTGTGACATGTGGTGTGACATGTGGTGTGACATGTGGTGTGACATGTGGTGTGACATGTGGTGTGACATGTGGTGTGACATGTGGTGTGACATGTGGTGTGACATGTGGTGTGACATGTGGTGTGACATGTGGTGTGACATGTGGTGTGACATGTGGTGTGACATGTGGTGTGACATGTGGTGTGACATGTGGTGTGACATGTGGTGTGACATGTGGTGTGACATGTGGTGTGACATGTGGTGTGACATGTGGTGTGACATGTGGTGTGACATGTGGTGTGACATGTGGTGTGACATGTGGTGTGACATGTGGTGTGACATGTGGTGTGACATGTGGTGTGACATGTGGTGTGACATGTGGTGTGACATGTGGTGTGACATGTGGTGTGACATGTGGTGTGACATGTGGTGTGTTGTGTGCGGTATGGCATTCAGTGTGCCATTAGGGTGCCTTGCCTCAAGGCCACCATGGAGATGCTAGTGCAGGTGTGCATGGGGCATTTGGTGTGGCATGAGGGTGCGTCGCTGGGAGGGAGCGGCGGGTGCTCTACTCCATGAGAGTGGGCGCTCGTCTTCTCACCCCTTCCCGCACATGCCATCCTTCTCTTTGCAGACCAACGGGGGAAGGAAGGCGGTGGTAGTGCGTCACTCCATGGGAGTGCTCTACCTCCTCTCCTTCCTTCTCCTACTTCCTCATGTTCCGCGTCCCCTCCCCTCCTCCCACACTCTGTTATCATCTGCAGACCAACGAGGGCAAGAAAGCCGTGGTGGTGCCCCACTCCATGGGAGTGCTCTATTTCCTCTTCTTTATGAAGTGGGTTGAAGCACCAGCGCCCCTGGGAGGCGGAGGGGGCCCGCGGTGGGTACACGATCACATCAGGGCGGTTTTCAACATCGGAGGGCCGCTCCTTGGCGCACCCAAGGCGTTCACTGGTCTTTTCTCTGCAGAAGCCAAGGATGTAGCGGCTATCAGGTGAGGAAAGGAGGGGAATGGAGCAGTGGACGAACGATACGTTCCGGCCATCCCTGCAGAAGCCAAAGTTGTGGTGGCTGTCCTGTCAGGGGTGAACGTTCCACGTGCTTTTGGCCCTCTTGACCACTGTTCTGCTCTTGGCACCCACCCTCGCCTCGTCCCACCCACCCACGTTCTGCTCTGCACCCACCCACCCTCGCCTCGTCCCTTCCATTTCACCCCTCGTTACCCCCTCGTGCGTGCGTCTGCCCTTGTTCCTATCCATCCAGGGCGCTGGACCCAGGGGTGTTTGACAGCCTGCAGGCGCTGCAGCATGTGATGCGGGTGTCACGCACGTGGGACTCCACCATGAGCATGCTGCCCAAGGGAGGGGAGGTTGTCTGGGGCAACGCCACGTGGGCGCCTGAGGACTCGTTCAACTGCTCCAAGGCCCGCGCGAAGCAGCTGCAGCTGCAGCAGCAGCAGGCGGGGGAGAGTGGGAATAGCTCCAAGGCAGGGGGGGAGGGTAAGGGGTTGGGAGTGGAGGGTTTTTTACGCACTCTGATGGCTGAGGGTGCCTCTTCCTCTGCCTTCTCAGCCTCTTCCTCCTCTTCCTCCTCTTCCTCCTCTTCCTCCTCCTCCTCCTCTTCCTCCTCTTCCTCCTCTTCCTCCTCTGCCTCTCCTGCTTCCTCCCTGGCTACTGGCGCTCACTCGAAGGGGTTTGGTGATGGCGTGGGCAGTGAGGAGGGTGGAGGTGGGAATGGGGGTGACGGGGATGACGCGAAGATACACACGAGGAGCTACGATCTTGAGACAAGCGAGCGGCGGGCATGGTTTGGACGCATGGTAAGCCGTTGTCTCTATTAGCACACTTGTTACGTTGCCCTGCATAACTAGTTTTGTTAGTTTTGTTTTTTTTTACTTCTCTTCCGCACATTTTGATATTTTAGGGATTTTAAAAACTCATGCAACCATGTTCTTCATCTCTCCAAATCCCCCTCTCTTCATCGCCTCTCTCCAACCAAATATCCTTTAGAGCAGCATCAGCCACGCTCTCTGAGTCGCTGGTGTGTCCCCTCAGGCGGCCAAGGCAGGCAGCTGTCACACTCACAAGGCCCATATGCCAGCACTCTTATTTCCCAGCTCAACCCACCCCCACTCCCACCTTCGCCTTTCAGGTGTTGTTTGAGACAGCATCAGCCACGCTATCAGCGTCCCTCCTGTCCTGTGTCCCCCAGGCACAAGGGCAGCGGCCAGGTGCCGTGCCTCTTCCCATTTCTGTTCTCCCCGCTCTCCCCTTCCCCTCCCCTCCTACTCTCCCATTTCCTCCCTTCTCCCTCTTACCAGATATCCTTCGGAGCAGCATCAGCTACTCTCTCGGAGTCCCTCGCTTACCCCTCAGGTTCCAAGGCAGCAGCAGCAGCCAGCCACGTACCCTGCTGCCTCCACGTGCCCCGACTCGTCCCTCTCCTTTCCCCCCTCACTCTCCTATCTCCATCCTCTCTTCCTCTCTTCCTCTCATCCTCTCTTCCTCTCTTCTCACCAGGTATCCTTTGGAGCAGCATCAGCCACGCTCTCAGAATCCCTGGTGTGCCCCTCAGGCGCCAAGGCAGCAGCCAGGGCAGCAGCAGCCACGTGCCCTGCCGCCTCCACGTGCCCAGCCACGTGGGGGGGCAGCAGTACATTCTCTCCGACCCCTGTAGCTGTGCCATGCGGGATTTACTGCCCGAAGGCGATGACGAGTACAGTGACGAAACTGCTTATAAAGGGACGGAGGAGAAGGGAGGGGCGGAGGGGAAGGGAGGGGCGGAGGGGAAGGGAGGGGCGGAGGGGAAGGGAGGGGCGGAGGGGAAGGGAGGGGCCAGTGCTGGAGGGGAGAAGGGGGAGAATGGAGAGAAGGACGAGGCAGAAGGGAAGGAATGGAAGGAAGGGAAAACGCCTGTGAGGGAGAGTCGGCGCAAGCAGTGGCAGCGGCAGCTGGAGGAAACCGTGTTTCAGCACCTGCACTCACGCAACAAGTCATGCGGCGACGTGTGGACGGAATACCATGACATGAGCTGGCACGCACTCAAGGACATTGCTAACTGCCCCTTCTACACCGCGGGGGATGAGAGCGACGGCCCTTCTGGGGGCATTCTGGGGCTGCTGCGACAGGTGGCGCCCAAGACGATGGCACGCGCGGATGAGAACTGGAGCTATGGGATCGCAGAGGACTTGAGCGAGAGGAAATATGCGGAGGAGCCGAAATACTGGGCGAACCCTCTGGAGACCAGGTGTGTGTGGGGGAGTGAATGAGGTGAGTGGGGTGCTGCAGAGAAGAGGAGAGTGCATGTGTGTGTGGAGGATGAGACAAGGGTGCTGAGCATTCGAGCGTTTGTGGGGGCGCTGAGGAGACCAAATGCTGGGGGAACCCACTAGAGGCTCGGGGCGTGTACGACCTCTCCCAAGCACTCCTGCTTCATCCACAACCCCCTCCATGTGTCACCCCTCCATGTGTCACCCCTGCCTCCCCGCTCTTCCCCCCGCCAGCCTGCCCAATGCCCCTGAAATGGAGGTGTAGTGCGCGTATGGCATGGGGCTGCTCACAGAGAGTGAGGTACTCCCTCTCTCAGCCTCCCTTGCCTCACCTCCACACCCTCCTGCACTCACTCCACTCTCTCTCTCCCACCCTCCCATCCCCGCCAGCCTGCCCGATGCCCCGGAGATGGAGGTGTACTGCGCGTATGGCACGGGGCTGCTCACAGAGAGGGCGTACGTGTACCGCCTCTCCCCCTCCAACGACACCTGCCTCATCCCCTTCCGCATTGACGCCTCTGCCAACGGGCCGCCCGGCCAGGTGGGTGGCATGTGGGGCAGGTGGGCAGCATGTGGGGCAGGTGGGCAGCATGTGGGGCAGGTGGGCAGTATGTGGGGCAGGTAGGCGGTATGCAGGGCAGGTAGATGGCAAGTGTTGCCAATGGGCCTCTCCGGCAGGTGGGCGCAATCTGGGGCAGCTGCATGTGGGGAGGTAGGTGGGTGGCATCTGGACAGGTGCATTTTGTGGTGAAGTGGCATCTGGGATGGCAGAATGCGGGGCATGGTTCAACAGCCTGTACGCACCAAGAGCCATGTAAGTAGCCACAACGTTTTCACACCACGTACCAATAATTCACCAGGCCGCCCTCTCCTCGGCCTCGTCCCCCCACCTTCCCCTCTTTGCATACCACCTCCCCAACCTCCTACTAAAAAAAAACAGACTCAAACACGGACACTCCCACTTCACCTCCCCACTCCACAGCCCCAGTTACCCACTTCACCTCCCCACGCGCTGATCTTCCATACCGAGGGGTCATATTTCACGGAGTCGTGGACCGCGACAACACAGCCCCATGCTCTCCATGGGGCTAGCCCGCTTGGAGCGCTCCTCATAGCAACCACTTCCCACCCCTCAACTTGAGCAACCCCTTACTCTCTTCACCACTCAACCCCTTTTCCTCCTTCGTCCTGCACTGCACTCCCTTCCCCACAACCCCAACCGTACACCATCAGGCGGGGGACTGTCTAACAGAGGGGGCATACTTCACGGACGGCGACGAGACAGCGCCCGTGCTCTCCATGGGGCTGCCGTGTGCCAAGCTGTGGCGCGGCCGCACGCGCTTCAACCCCGCCGCCTCGCCCACCTTCCTGAGGGAGTACGAGCACCGCCCCACCTCGGGGCTGCTGGCGGGCAGGAGCACGCAGAGCGGCAGCCACGTGGACATCATGGGTAACTTTGCACTCATTGAGGATATTCTGCGGGTTGCCGCTGGTGCTACGGGGGTGGAGATTGGCGGGGATCAGATTTATTCGGATATATTGCATTGGGCGGAAAGGGTTAGTATAAAATTGTAGGAGACGGTTTGGTGGTGTGGTCTGACATTTGTATGCGTTAGACGGTACGTAGTGTTTTGCAGTGCAGTGTAATATGACCTACTTCACGTGCATGTAGTGGTAAGCTTGCTCCAGTCCCATTCCTTGGGGGTTGCTACGAGACTACTCTCATTCGCTGTAAGGTGTTTACGCTTGGACACTCCATAGGTATAGCTAGTTATGTACGTACATCGCAAGCCATTGTAGATCAGTAATGTGTGTGGTCTATACTTGTAACGTTTGTAGATTATAGATGTATATTATATTATTTGTTCTTTAGTAGTAAGAAATTAAAGAGAAGGCACTCATTACAGCATACAGACACACGAGTTTTTATCACTCGGGCAACCATGTGTTCACTATCCGCTTTCTGTTCACAGTACCGAAATACTGTACTGTAAGAACTATGGTCAGTTTCTGGTACCCGGCTGGCGCGTTACTAACTCGAAAAGCATCTCCAGAAAGAAATCCTTTTTTTCCCGAATGGACAACTCTCGAGGTTCCAAATCACAGCCCGAGAGAACGCAGCGAAATCAAGACACACGTGATGGATGGTAACGGGGTGGAAGTGGAACAGAGAAACGAGGTGAGCGGAGCAAGCCGAGCAAGCCGAGCCGAACAACCCGAGGTGAAGGGAGCACAGCAGCCAGTGGAGAGCAGAGTGCAGGTAGCAGCCGACAGTAGTGTTCTGGTGACTCCTGCTGGTGGGGGAGGTGTAGAGGCGAATGTAAATGATGATGGTTCCGCGGATGTTTCCAAGCCCGATTTCACCAACTCAGCGCCAAGACAGAAGCTACCATTTTCAACAGCTGCGGGTTTTGGATTTTGACGATTTTCGAATATAGGCCGGAGCGCACTTTCAGAATCTAGTATTTATCTGCCAAGACAAATCTGAAAGCCGAATCATCATGACGACTTTGCACATCAACAACCTTCCCGACGAGCTTCTCATTGCGATATTCTGGCCCTCTAAGCATCTCTTTTCCCGCCAGTCCGACGATGACAATGTGTGGGCGTCCGTGTGGCCTACCCCGCGATTTATTCGCGAAAATGCAGACGAGCCATCGTACCAGCCGAGCGAGCCCTTGTTTCCGAACCCGACTCTACCTCCAGCTGTCGCCGACGCTTCTTATAACCTCCTAATCGCGTCAGTCTGCCGCCGCTGGCGGCGCCTAGCTCAGCGCCACGTCACCACGCTTCTCGTAAAAAAAAGACGCGACGTCTCTCGCGAGGATCTCGCCGCCGCTCTCAACCGCTTTCCTAACCTCACACACCTTCACCTCAACGACAGCAGCCTGGAAACCATCGACGACGCCTTTCTCGCTCGCCTCGCGGCATCGTGCCCTAATCTGACGGCTTTCCACCTCGGAGGAGGGATAGAACAGAACCGGGACGAGGAGGAGGAGGAGGACGAGGAGGGGGAGGGGGAGGGCCAGAGGTTGCTGACCGGAGCTGGCTTGGATGTTCTCTTCCGCGGGTGCACGCGGCTGGAGCATTTATCGCTGGGCTGCCTCTACTATCTCCTTACGCTGCCACCTTCGATCTTTCAGCTCGTGCACCTCCGCTCGCTCGCGATCGCCGATTGGTCGGTGTTAATCTCTCCAGAACTCAAGAATCTGTCTTCTCTCACCGCGCTCTCCCTTAACTCGAGGACCTGGGACCTACAGGATTTCGAAAACCTCTCTTCTCTCCCAAGCCTCACATCTCTTTCCGTGTCGGAAGAGCTCATTCATTCGCGAGTGTTACCGCCTTCGCGTCCGTTTTCGTTCGCGCATCTGCCGTCGCTCAAGTCGCTGGAAATGGAAGGCGAATGTCCACCGTTCGATGTCATGTTCCCCTCAGATTCGCCCTGCACCCTCCTGGAACGCCTCACGCTCAGCCAGTGCGATGAGCTCGCCTCGCTCCCGAACGATCTTGAAGACCGCTTGCCATGTCTCCGCGAGCTGACCATCAGCGAATGCAGATCGTTCTTCGAGCAACCCCAGCAGCTCACCTCCCTGACCAACCTCCGCCACTTGAAGCTTTCGGACTGCAGCTTCGCCGGTCTGCCTCACGATCTCGGCGAGCTCTCCGCGCTGAAAACGCTCGTGCTGCACGAACTCAATGTCGACCTCCCTGCCTCGTGCAGCCAGCTCAAGGCTCTAGAGACGCTGTTAGTCACAGACTGCGCACACCTACGCGAGTTACCAGAGGGGTTTGGCGCTCTCACTGCGCTCAAAACCCTGTGCCTTGCAGGCTCACCTCCTCTGATCCTTCCTGACGACATTGGACAACTCACCAACCTCCAGACTTTCTTTTTGAAATCGTACCAGCAACACCATCTGCTTCCCTCCTCCTTCACCCACCTGGCGTCACTGACAAGGCTTGAGCTTCAGGACTGCGCGTTGGCAGAGCTCCCAGAGGCCATGGGGGAGCTGAGGTGCCTGCGCGAGCTCTACATCCAATCCTGCTCGCACCTCCACAAGCTTCCAGACTCCGTTTCAGCCCTCCTGGGCCTTGAAATTCTCAAGGTTGACAGCTGCAGCAGCCTGTTTTCAGTGCCTAAGAATCTTGTGAATCTGGGAAGGCTGACGCAGTTGGAGCTGACCGGCTGTGGATTGCTGAGGAAAGCGCCAGAGTTCTTGCCAGGCTCGCTAGAAGCTCTCAGCGTGGGGAGTTCGCATCAGGTCACCCGTCTGCCAGGCGCCTATCATCTTCCATTCTTGAGGCAAGCGAGCCTACAAATGGTGATCTTCCCCGCTGCACTCTCCAGAAGCCTTTCCTCTCTGGAGCAGTTGAAGCTGTACCTGGCTTGGGAGGAGGAGTTCCCATTTCCATTAATTGCTTTTCCTCACCTCCGCACGTTGTCAATCCTTAGCACAGGAGTCATGAGGCTTCCAGATTTTTCTAGCTCTACATTGCAGGAGCTGCGTCAGCTGGAAATACTCCTGCCTGAGTTGACAGAACTCCCACCGACCGTTGCAGCCCTCCAGAAGCTCACATACATGGAGATTAGGTCCCCCAAGCTGCCCTCACTTCCTGATTCACTCATGGCGCTCACCAGGTTACGCAAGCTGATTCTGAGCAACTCCCAATCTCTCACTCACCTCCCTGCGTCCCTCACCCAGCTCTCCTGCCTCTGTGAGCTAAGGGTCCACCACGGCTCCATGACTTCTCTTCCTTTTGACTTTTCTCGCCTTAGCAGGCTGCAGATTCTGGATTTGGAGGATTGCAAAGAGCTGGAGGCTCTGCCTGAAGATCTGGGGGAGCTGAAGCTGCTGGTGACTTTGAACACTAGTGGGTGTGTCAAGTTGTACGATGAAGATGGAAAGCGTCGACTTCCTGAGGGGTGTTCGTATCGGTGGAGGTAGAAAATATTGGCGTGAACCGGTTTTTTTTGGAGTATTTATTTAATTTCCTCGTTTTTTTTCATCACTTGATTGTGGGAAGGAGTTTGCCCCAGCTCTCAAAAACAGAGTGATCCCTAGGGTTGTGACTTTCCAACATGTGATCTGATGTACGGTACATATGCACCTCAGTCCAGTCCTGTATCTCACATGTGGCGAAATAAACATTACAAGATTTGCATATAAACGCACTCGTTGGCTGACGGTTTGAGCAGTCAAGAAAGTTTTGGTTCTGACAGCACTAGACAGGCGAACAACACGAGACAGATGGTGCCAGCAGCACAGTTTCAAGATGCATCCTGCATGTCCTCATCATCCCCTTCGTCCTCTCCTGCCTCCTCTTCCTCCTCCACTGCTTCGCCTCGCCGCCGCTTCTCAAACTTGTCAAAGGCGGCTTCAAACGTGCGTGTCACATGCTCACAGAAGCCTGCCAGCTCCAGCAGCCCATCCTTCAGCACATCCCTTGCCGGGTCTCCTGCACCGGGCATGTGTGATTGGATAGGTGTGGGGGGATGAGGATGGGTACAAGGGCACATGGAGGAGCGGATCATGTGCTCACAGAAGCCGGCCAGCTCCAGCAGCCCGTCCATAAGCACCTCTCTTGCTGGGCCGCCTACAGAGTGGCGCGTGTAGATAGGTGTGAGGACAAGGATGTGTGCGAGGAGGTGTGTGACTGCATGAGTGGTGCAAATGGATACAAGGGGATATGGAGGTGCGCATCACGTGCTCTCAAAAGCTTGCAAGCTCCACCAGCCCGTCCTTGAGCACCTTTCTTGTCAAGTTCCCTGCACAGGCACGTGTGTGAGCGGATAGGTGTGGAGGGATGAGGATGGGTACGAGAGCACATGAGGTGCGTATCATGTGCTCATGGAAGCCTCAGTTCCAGCAGCCCATTCTTGAGCTCCTCCCTTGCTGGTCACAAGGGGCATAAGGTGTGGACACAAGGGGCATCAGGTGTGGGTATAAGGGGCAACAGGTGTGGAAATAAGGGGCATCAGGTCAGGTGGTACTATAAAGGGCATAAGGTGCGACTATAAAGGGCACCAGGTACGACTATAAAGGGCACCAGGTGCGACTATAAAGGGCATCAGGTGCGACTATAAAGGGCACCAAGCGCGACTATAAAGGGCATCCGGTGTGACTATAATAAAGGGCATCAGGTGTGACTATAAAGGGCATCAGGTGCGACTATAAAGGGCATCAGGTGCGACTATATGGGGCATCAGGGGCATCAGGCGTGAGTATAAAGGAGTGATATGAAGGTCGATGCAGCCCATCCTTCAGCACCTCCCTTGCAGGGTCGGCCGCAGGTAGGTGCGTGTGCGAGCGAGAGTACGTGTGAGCAGGTGGGTGTGTGTGCGAGGGTGCAAGCAGCCTGCCCTCCCTTGCCACGTCACCTGCAGAAAAGTGTGGGGGGTCACGCGTGGGGAAACAGGCGCTTGGGGAAAAGGTTTGCACCTTCCCCAACCTCACCTGTGGTTTGCACTTCCTTCCCCCACTACCCCCACCCGCCATTGGTTTGCACCCACCTGTGGTTTGCACCCACCTGTGGTTTGCACCCACCTGTGGTTTGCACCCACCTGTGGTTTGCACGCGGATGTTCACTTTATTGTCGGACGGGTGTGGCACGGAGTAGCCGCAGAAGCTCACACGAGGGCTGCTTGTATCGGCGATGGCAACGACAATGTGGAGACGAGGAGATGGAAAAGAGCGAAACGGATTTGACGGGTGGGAAGTGGATGGCGGAGGGGAGAGGGTGGGGGAAGTGGGGGGGAAGCGGGGGAAGGGGGGGGGGAGGGGGAGGGAAGGTGGAAAAGGGGGTGAGGCGGAAGCTGTAGGTAGGGGGTAGAGGGGAAGTAGAGCTTGGGACGACTGCACTGACATGGATGTGGAATTTGCTACGAACGAGTGAATGAGGGCTACGGCAAAAGCCCACTGAAAGAACTTGTTTCTGAAAAAAGATGATTCGGGTTGAGGGTTGAAGGCTCTCCAGGGTTTAAGGTCGAGCGCTTTGGGTTTGAGGGTGAGGGCATTCTCTAGGGTTCAGGGGGTTTACGAAGTTTGAACAGGCTTGTAAACGCAAGCGACAAGTGTCAAAATCAGAAGACACGTGTGCAAACAAAGTTTGGAGCGAGCAAAGGAAAGCTTTAAGTAGGCGACGCGTCACCAGAAGCACGAGACACGTCACTAAAGGCTGGTGACACGTCAGTAGAAACAGGTTACACGTCACTAGAAACAGGCGACACGCACTCCTGGTTGAGAATGAAGCGCACGGAGTTCCCGATGGTGTGGTCCTCGTCGATCAGCGAAAACGTCACTCCCGCCGCACTGCTGCGCTGCGCCATGATGCCGCCAGGCTCCGCGGATGCCTGCGTGGTAGCTGAGTCAATGCGCGCGGGGCTGCGTTAAGTACCACTTAGGAAATCTTTGCTTTACTAAGTGCGGTACTTAGAAAGTGCTACGAAGGCGACGGGCTGAGTCAATGCTCCGAGAGTAGGTTAGTTGGAAGTTTCGAGTGACGACGTGACGCGGAAGGTGATCGGATTTCAGATGTCTCTAGCCTAGAGTACAATGTCGATTCGAAGAAAGAAGGCAAAGGCACGAGCAGGGGACGCGGGGGCGATCAGCAGGAAAAGCTTGTTGCGACGGGCAGGGAAAGCGAGGCGACGGGCAGGGGAAGCGAGGCGACGGGCAGGGGAAGCGAGGCGACGGGCAGGAGAAGCGAGGATGACGTGCAGGGGAAGCGAGGGCGTCGAGGAGGGGGAGCGAGGGCGACGGGCAGGGCACACGAAGACGTCGAGCGAGTGGAGAGCGTGTGACGCGAGATTGAGCGACTCTATCGTGAGCGACGGCAGGGAGTGAGCAACGAGAAAAAGTCAATGAAGAGATTCCGCCGCAGGTGTGGGCAACGCGACCCGAGTAATGAGAAATCGCGCCCGTGCGCGACTAGAGCGAGCTATTCGAGAAAACTAAAGAGCGCCTGGAGAATGACAAAACTACACGCAGGTACCAGTTTCCTTTTGGTAACCCCATGGTCATCAGGAAATTTTCCGCATTCTTACCGCGTGCTTCAACACCGCGGATACCATAAACCCCCAGTCCCGTATTCATCTTTTATCAATCTATTGCATCATTTTTAATATCACTTCCCATCATGCGTTACTATTTCTAATGCAGCGCGCTGGCGCAAAAAAAAAAAAGTAACTAGTAGATACTTGTAATACAACATATAATTTGTAGTACCATTGGACTGTACTGGGTAATGTGAAAGGTTGGGGTGCTACAGCGAAACTTGTTTTAGTGTGTACATTGAGCATCGCCAACCAGCCAACACAACACATCTTCGACGATCGCGCTGATGCAGAGCAGAGCGCAGTTCTTCATGCACAGACGAAGAAGCGTTGCCCGCACGCACTCTCCTGCTGCCCTCCTCGCGCGATCTGCCCTCGTCACTTGCGCCCACTGCCGCGCGCGCTACCGCCCTTTCACGTTCCGCCTCCACCCGCCCGTCTACTCTGCCCCGCCCCGCGCTCCTTCCCCGCTGCATGCGCGCTCCCCTTTTTCCTCCCCGCCAGCGCGCAATGAAGCCGCGGGCGGGCGTGCGGTTGGAGCGGGTGGAGGCGGGGCCGGCGGAGGAGGCGGAGGGGGAGGGCACGGAGGCGAGTCCTCGGCTGCCCAAGGCGGACAGCCACAGCCGCGCGCCGCACGAGGCCGTCGCGCGCATCCTCGAGGACGACCCGCTGGAGGGGGGCGGGTTGGATGGGGGGAACGCGGAGGGGGGAGCGGGTGGCGGGGGGAGCGCGGAGGAGGGAGGCGCAGGGGGCGGTGCGGTGGGCGAGATGGCGTGGAGTGGATTGGGGCAGGGGCAGGGGCAGGGGCAGAGCAGCAGAAGCAAGTTTGAGCCTGTGGGGTGGCAGGAGTACTTTGAAGAGGAGGAATACGTGACAGTGGCCAATGGCGATGTGAGTCCGCACTGCGCGCCGATGACAGCACTGCGCGCCGATGACAGCACTGCCTGTCTTGTTGCGTTCCACTCACTGCCCTCTCCTCCTCTGCCCGCCCCTCCTCTGTCCGCCCCTCCTCTGCCCGCCCCTCCTCAGCTAGTGCCTTATGCCTTTCCGCCTGTTCTCGCATCCCTCTCCCGCCCCTCTCCTGATTTCCCCTCTTTTCCCCCCCACTCCCCCCTTTGCCTGTTGGGCCAGGTGTTCCACGTGTACAGGGCGGGGCGCACAGGGCCCGTGCTACTGTGCCTGCATGGGGGCGGCTATGCCGGGTGGGTGCTCCCACGTCTCGACCGCCCCTTTCCCCATTACAAGCACACTGCTGCCTCGTTAAAGCTTTACTCACCCATTGCACAAGCACGTGCCCGAGCCCACTTCCGAGGTCAGCACGCTGCTCGTGCTTGCTCAGCACAGCACAGCACGCCCCCCCATCTCACACCTTGCATCCGCTCTTTCTCTTGCGCGCCATGATGTGCGGGGTGGATGGGGTGCATGTGTGCGGGGTGGATGGGGTGCATGTGTGCGGGGTGGATGGGGTGCATGTGTGCGGGGTGGATGGGGTGCATGTGTGCGGGGTGGATGGGGTGCATGTGTGCGGGGTGGATGGGGTGCATGTGTGCGGGGTGGATGGGGTGCATGTGTGCGGGGTGGATGGGGTGCATGTGTGCGGGGTGGATGGGGTGCATGTGTGCGTGGTGGATGGGGTGCATGTGCGGTGGCAGGGCGTCGTTTGCAGTGGCAGCGGGGCACATGAGGGGTGAGGTGCAGGTGGTGGCCATGGACATGCGCGGCCACGGCGCCACGCGCACCGCCAACGACCTCGACCTCTCCGCCCAGGTTTCCTCTCCGTCCAGGTGCCTCTCTCTCCACCCAGGTGCCTCTCCGCCCAGGTGCCTCGCCGTCCAGGTATCATGCTCACATGCATGTCGCTGCCAGCCATTGTGCATGCACACATCTATGCAGCCATGTGTGCTTTGCTCTCTGCTCAGTGCTCTGTGCTCTGTGCTCTGTGCTCTGTGCTCTGTGCTCTGTGCTCTGTGCTTGTTTGCATCGGTTTGTGTGTGCATGTGCGTGCGTGTATGTACGTGCGTGCGTGCATGTGCGTGCGTGCGTGCATGTGCATGTGTGCATGTGTGCATGTGCATGTGTGCATGTGTGCATGTGTGCATGTGTACATGTGTGCATGTGTGCATGGCCCCACCATGCCACGGCAGACGCTGGTGGAGGATGTGGCAGGCGTGGCAAGGAAGCTCTTTGGTGACTCACCTCCCGCCATCGTGCTGCTGGGTCACAGGTGAGAGGGCAGGCATGGTGCTGCTGGGTCACAGGTGAGCGTGAGAGGGCAGGCATGGTGCTGCTGGGTCACAGGTGAGCGTGAGAGGGCAGGCATGGTGCTGCTGGGTCACAGGTGAGCGTGAGAGGGCAGGCATGGTGCTGCTGGGTCACAGGTGAGCGTGAGAGGGCAGGCATGGTGCTGCTGGGTCACAGGTGAGCGTGAGAGGGCAGGCATAGTGCTGCTGGGTCACAGGTGAGCGTGAGAGGGCAGGCATGGTGCTGCTGGGTCACAGGTGAGCGTGAGAGGGCAGACATGGTGCTGCTGGGTCACAGGTGAGCGTGAGAGGGCAGGCATGGTGTTGCTGGGTCACAGGTGAGCGTGAGAGGGCAGGCATGGTGCTGCTGGGTCACAGGTGAGCGTGAGAGGGCAGGCATGGTGCTGCTGGGTCACAGGTGAGCGTGAGAGGGCAGGCATGGTGCTGCTGGGTCACAGGTGAGCGTGAGAGGGCAGGCATGGTGCTGCTGGGTCACAGGTGAGCGTGAGAGGGCAGGCATGGTGCTGCTGGGTCACAGGTGAGCGTGAGAGGGCAGGCATGGTGCTGCTGGGTCACAGGTGAGCGTGAGAGGGCAGGCATGGTGCTGCTGGGTCACAGGTGAGCGTGAGAGGGCAGGCATGGTGCTGCTGGGTCACAGGTGAGCGTGAGAGGGCAGGCATGGTGCTGCTGGGTCACAGGTGAGCGTGAGAGGGCAGGCATGGTGCTGCTGGGTCACAGGTGAGCGTGAGAGGGCAGGCATGGTGCTGCTGGGTCACAGGTGAGCGTGAGAGGGCAGGCATGGTGCTGCTGGGTCACAGGTGAGCGTGAGAGGGCAGGCATGGTGCTGCTGGGTCACAGGTGAGCGTGAGAGGGCAGGCATGGTGCTGCTGGGTCACAGGTGAGCGTGAGAGGGCAGGCATGGTGCTGCTGGGTCACAGGTGAGCGTGAGAGGGCAGGCATGGTGCTGCTGGGTCACAGGTGAGCGTGAGAGGGCAGGCATGGTGCTGCTGGGTCACAGGTGAGCGTGAGAGGGCAGGCATGGTGCTGCTGGGTCACAGGTGAGCGTGAGAGGGCAGGCATGGTGCTGCTGGGTCACAGGTGAGCGTGAGAGGGCAGGCATGGTGCTGCTGGGTCACAGGTGAGCGTGAGAGGGCAGGCATGGTGCTGCTGGGTCACAGGTGAGCGTGAGAGGGCAGGCATGGTGCTGCTGGGTCACAGGTGAGCGTGAGAGGGCAGGCATGGTGCTGCTGGGTCACAGGTGAGCGTGAGAGGGCAGGCATGGTGCTGCTGGGTCACAGGTGAGCGTGAGAGGGCAGGCATGGTGCTGCTGGGTCACAGGTGAGCGTGAGAGGGCAGGCATGGTGCTGCTGGGTCACAGGTGAGCGTGAGAGGGCAGGCATGGTGCTGCTGGGTCACAGGTGAGCGTGAGAGGGCAGGCATGGTGCTGCTGGGTCACAGGTGAGCGTGAGAGGGCAGGCATGGTGCTGCTGGGTCACAGGTGAGCGTGAGAGGGCAGGCATGGTGCTGCTGGGTCACAGGTGAGCGTGAGAGGGCAGGCATGGTGCTGCTGGGTCACAGGTGAGCGTGAGAGGGCAGGCATGGTGCTGCTGGGTCACAGGTGAGCGTGAGAGGGCAGGCATGGTGCTGCTGGGTCACAGGTGAGCGTGAGAGGGCAGGCATGGTGCTGCTGGGTCACAGGTGAGCGTGAGAGGGCAGGCATGGTGCTGCTGGGTCACAGGTGAGCGTGAGAGGGCAGGCATGGTGCTGCTGGGTCACAGGTGAGCGTGAGAGGGCAGGCATGGTGCTGCTGGGTCACAGGTGAGCGTGAGAGGGCAGGCATGGTGCTGCTGGGTCACAGGTGAGCGTGAGAGGGCAGGCATGGTGCTGCTGGGTCACAGGTGAGCGTGAGAGGGCAGGCATGGTGCTGCTGGGTCACAGGTGAGCGTGAGAGGGCAGGCATGGTGCTGCTGGGTCACAGGTGAGCGTGAGAGGGCAGGCATGGTGCTGCTGGGTCACAGGTGAGCGTGAGAGGGCAGGCATGGTGCTGCTGGGTCACAGGTGAGCGTGAGAGGGCAGGCATGGTGCTGCTGGGTCACAGGTGAGCGTGAGAGGGCAGGCATGGTGCTGCTGGGTCACAGGTGAGCGTGAGAGGGCAGGCATGGTGCTGCTGGGTCACAGGTGAGCGTGAGAGGGCAGGCATGGTGCTGCTGGGTCACAGGTGAGCGTGAGAGGGCAGGCATGGTGCTGCTGGGTCACAGGTGAGCGTGAGAGGGCAGGCATGGTGCTGCTGGGTCACAGGTGAGCGTGAGAGGGCAGGCATGGTGCTGCTGGGTCACAGGTGAGCGTGAGAGGGCAGGCATGGTGCTGCTGGGTCACAGGTGAGCGTGAGAGGGCAGGCACCTCTAATTCTTCCACTCCTCCTTCCCCCCTTCATTCATCTGCTCTGCTCCGTGTCCCCCTCCCTCCCCATCCCTTCCGTGTGTGGGCGGGGCATGGCACATGGCGCATGGCGCATGGCAGCATGGGGGGGGCGGTGGCAGTGCGGGTGGCGGAGCAGCAGCTGCTGCCATCGCTGGCAGGCCTCGTGGTCGTCGACGTCGTCGAGGTGCCTCCCTCTCTGCCTCCCTGCCCCCCTGCCTCCTCCCTGCCCCCCTGCCTCCTCCCTGCCCCCCTGCCTCCTCCCTGCCGCCTCCCTGCCTTACACTGCCCCATTGCATCACTGCCTCCCTGCCATCACTGCGTCCCTGCCACACTGCCTCACACTGCCTCACACTGCCTCACACTGCCTCACACTGCCTCACACTGCCTAACGGGCTCGTCGATTCATGATGTCAGGCCTACTGGCTCACGGGCTCACGGGTTTGCGCTTCGCCATGCTGCTTGATGCCAGGGTATCAAAGCAGTGAGTGTGTGCACCTTCACCACCCTCTACCCCCTTCACCACCCTCTACCCCCTTCACCACCCTCTACCCCCTTCCTCTACCACCTCTTGCTCTTCCACCCCCTTGTCCTGCACCCGCCCGCCCTGCATGGTACACGGCAGGGCAGCGCCGTGGCATCGCTGGGCCACATGCAGGCAGTGCTGGCGTCACGCCCCTCACACTTCCCATCGCTCCACAAGGCCGTGAGCACCATGCAGTGCAGTGCATGTGCTTTTGAATGTCGCGTGCCCACTTCCCCCTGTCCGTGCCTTCCTCTTTGCTGTTGTATGGAATCATTTCTCCCCCTCTTGCACTCCTTCCTCCCCCTCTCTCCTTTCTGTCCCCCCTCTCTCCCTTCTGTCTTTCTCATTCTCCCTTCACTCCTCTCCATACCCTGCCTATCCCTCGGAGCGTATGTACTCTGCCACATGTTTCATTCTCGTCGCTCGCTCTGTGTTGTGCCCGCAGGTGGAGTGGAGTGTGCGGTCGGGGCATCTGAGGAGCGTTGAGTCGGCGCGTGTCTCGGTGCCGCCCACCCTCATCCCAGACGCCACAGGGAAGGGGTGAGTTGTGAACACACAGGAAGGCTCGAGCAGCACACAGCAGGGGAAAGGCAGAAGCGCGAGGAAGCATGGGTGCGATATAGGGAGGCATGAGGGGGAGGGGAGCATGGGTGAGGCATGGGGAGGCACGGAAAGTTGCGTTCTAGACCGTTCTCGACCCCTTGAATGCCTCTGTTCTACTGTCCCTTCTCCTCCCTCTCTTCCATTCCCACTCTCTCATCCGTTCCCCGATCTCTCGTCCACTCCCACTCTCACCCATTCCTTCTCTCACACCCTTTCCTCCACCTGCAGGTTTGTGTGGCGCACCCCCCTTGAGAAATCTCAGCCCTACTGGAAGGGATGGTGCGTGCATGCATGCACACACATGCGTGCACACACATACGTGCACATACATACGTGCACACACATACGTGCACACATGCATGCACACACATACGTGCACACACATGCGTGCACACACATACGTGCACATACATACGTGCACACACATACGTGCACACATGCATGCACACACATACGTGCACACACATTCGTGCGCATACATACGTGCACATACATGCGTGCACACGCGCGCACACATGCGTGCATGCTGTCTGTTGCTTGCTGCTTGCTGAGCATGCATTGCGCACTGCTCGCAAAGTGGGATGCATATGCATGCTTGGGATGGGAAAAAATCTGCTGAAGATTTTTTGGGGCGAGGGATTGGTTTGTGAGTGCTGGTTGTGAAGAGAAAGCAGAGTGCGGCATGGTTGGATTGGATTGGAGGCGGTTCTCACCTGCCTTTCTCGTCGCAGTATCTGCCAGCAACCCCAAGTGTGCGCTGCTGTGCGAACCATATGCATGTGTGCAAGTGCATTCAACCATGTGCGTGCACGTGTGCATGTCCATGTGCGTGTGCCCGTGCATGTGTGCATGTGCTTGTGTGCGTATCCATGTGCACGTGGGATGTGCATGTGTGCATGTGCATGTGTGCGTATGCATGCGCATGTGTGCATGTGTGCATGCATGTGTGTGCGTCCATGTGCCCTGCAGGTATGCGGGTCTGTCTGACCTCTTTCTGCGCTGCCCCGTGCCCAAGCTGCTGCTGCTCGCAGGCACCGACCGCCTCGACAAGTGAGCCTTGCTCTCTCATGGCATCAGGGCATGGCGTCAGGGGAGTCAGGGGAGTCAACTAGTCAAGGGAGTCAAGGGAGTCAAGGGAGTCAAGGGAGTCAGGGGAGTCAGGGGAGTCAGGGGAGCCAGGGGAGTCAACTAGTCAAGGGAGTCAAGGGAGTCAATTAGTCAAGGGAGTCAGGGGATTCAAGGGAGTCAGGGGAGTCAGGGGAGTCAGGGGAGCCAGGGGAGTCAGGGGAGTCCAGGTGGTTGGGCAAGACGGTGTTGGCTCTTGCTCCACAGTGTTGGCCGCCCTCTGAATTTATGCCGTCCTCCCCACTCCTGCCGCACTCCCTGCTCTCCCCTCTTGCTTTACTCCCTGCTCTCCCCTCCTGCCTCACTCCCTTGTCGCCCGCCCTCACTCCACATGTGCTGCACGGCGAGCAACCATGGCAGGCCGCTGACCATTGCTCAGATGCAGGGCCGCTTCCAAATGCTCGTTGTCCGCCACTCAGGCCACGCCATCCAGGTGAGGCGCCATCCAGGTGAGGCGCCATCCAGGTGAGGCGCCATCCAGGTGAGGCGCCATGCAGGTGAGGCGCCATGCAGGTGAGGCGCCATCCAGGTGAGGCGCCATCCAGGTGAGGCGCCATGCAGGTGAGGCGCCATGCAGGTGAGGCGCCATCCAGGTGAGGCGCCATCCAGGTGAGGCGCCATCCAGGTGAGGCGCCATGCAGGTGAGGCGCCATCCACTTGTGGTGCAGTGCGCTCTTTCTTCCCCTTGTTGCTTCTGTGCTCTGTGACCCAACACCAGCTGTGGTGCTGCTGTGGGTGCGCGTGTGCAGGAGGACGAGAGCTTGGAATTCTCTTCCAGCGTGCTGCACTTCATAGCAAGAAACCGAATCACACAGCGTGGCGTGATGGTCAGTACATGGCAGCATTATAGGGGGCTCTCTCTCTATCTCTCTCTCTCTCTCTCTCTCTCTCTCTCTCTCTCTCTCTCTCTCTCTATCTCTCTCTCTCTCTATCTCTCTCTCTCTCTCTCTCTCTCTCTCTCGCTCTCTCTCTCTCTCTCTCTCTCGCTCTCTCTCTCTCTCTCTCTCTCTCTCTCTCTCTCTCTCTCTCTCTCTCTCTCTCTCTCTCTCTCTCTCTCTCTCTCTCTCTCTCTCTCTCTCTCTCTCTCTCTCTCTCTCTCTCTCTCTCTCTCTCTCTATCCCTCATCCTCTCTCCTCTTTCTCTCTCTCTATCTCCCCTTCACACACACTCTCTCAGCCATGTCCCCCTACTCTCTCCCTCCATTTTGTGAATTTGTTCTCATGACCCCTTTCTTGTAAGCTGCTTGTGGTCTGTACCAAACCCAACCCCCATTTTCCACCTTTGCTTCCCGCAGGTTGGTGGTTTCATCCATCATTGACCTGTTCCGCCATGCCACTCCCATTGCGGACTCTATGGTTTTCTATTACGCAAACCCATTCCACCTGTCATGACAAACATGGGTCTACTGTTTTTCAGAGTCGCTTGTGATGGAACATGACATGAAACATATGGTAATGCTTTTGTCTGAAGCATCAGATTCGCGTGCCTTCTGTCTCAATTAATTTTGAGAACCAGTGCAGTATCGTAACTTAGAGAACCGGGAAACTTTTTCACATCCATGCAATAATTAACCAGGTACTGTAGTAGCCACCCTTGTGTTTAGGATGTATTTAAGGAACCGGGCGAGGATTGCACTAAAGGGGAAAATGAGTACAATGTGAGCAAAGTAAGGGTGTGTGTGATTTTTTTTGGGGTTTGCAACTAGGGTCGAGCTTTATATGGAATCCTTTTTCGTCAATGTTCGCGGCTTGTTTCGCCAATGTGACTCTACTACCAACTTAGGGAGTGCGAACCTACAAATGTGAACAAGATTCAGAGTAGCCACAGAGCCAGAGGAGATTGTTTCCGTAGCCGCGACTTCACTCTCGTCGGCGCGGAAGGGTAGACGCCATGGAAGAGCCGCAAGAGGCGCAGCCCGTGGGCGACGTGCCGGCGGACGCGAACCAGCGTGAGTAAGCAGCCGCGAGTAGGAACTGCGTGGAAGCAGAAGCAACAGTAGTAGAAACCCGCGAGAATGAGTAAGCTCCTTATGGCTGCGCCGCAGAGAATTCCTTAACAGAATCTGTTTAACGGAATTTCCACGCCTCGATACTTTTTTGCTCCTCTCGATTTTCGTGTTCTCCGTTTCCGCACTCACCATCGTTCGTTTCTGTAATCATCTGCTGTTCTCCCCCTGCCTCCAAGACGGCGTGTCACTGCAGTGAAAGAGCGAAAAAAGGCAGCGCCCTGCACAGCCTGTCTAGCCTTCTCCACCCCTTTCAACCCATCCCACCCCCTCCTCCCCTTCCCTACCCTCAGACTGCCCAGGAACGGGAGCGGAGGAGGCAGGAAAGGCGGCGGCGTGTGCGGGGTGTCCCAACCAGCAGATCTGCGCCACAGCGCCCAAGGGGCCGGATCCAGGTGCGTTGTTGGGCCGCAGTGGGGTGCAGTGGGGTGCAGTGGGGTGCAGTGAGGAGGCGTGGCTGGGTGCGGTTAGGCGCGGCGGCTGTGGTGGGGTGAGGCGTGTGGATAGAGGGGTGTGGTGCTGCGGGGTTGGTACTGTGCCACGGCGCCCGAGTGGCCGATCCAGCTGCGCTGCTGTCCTCGCCACCTCCAGGTGTCGCTGCTGGGGTGTGGTGGGGTGCGGTTGTGAGCGGCAGGGTGTGGTGGGGCGTGTGGTACAGAGGCTGTGGTGCTGGAGGGATGATACGAGCAGGTGTACACCACACCACACCACCCAAGGGGCCGGAGCCAGGTGCGCTGCTGGGGAGTTGCGGGGCGTGATGGGCCCCGGTGGGCGTGATGGGCCCCGGTGGGCGTCGTGCCGTGGCGTATTTGGTGTGTGGTGCTGGGAGTGTGGTGCTGGGGGTGTGGGGTTGGGAGTGTGGTGGGTCAAGGAGTCAGCTACGAGTCGCCCCACAGGCACCAGCATCTAGGGGTGAATTCCACCAGCCCAGCATCTTCACAGCGCCCTGCCTGATAAGCGTGGGTGCTCTGCTCTCATGCCACCTTGACGTGCGCTGCTCTGCCAAAGTTCTTCTGCTCACGCTGCTTTTTGAGCTCCATCTTTGACCATCCATTCCCGTCCTCTCTCCCTCCTCCCCCCACTCTCTCTCCTCTGTTTTCGCCTCGCAGACCTGGCGGTCATAGCGCAGCGGCTGCAGGCAGTGAAGCACATCGTGCTGGTTCTGTCGGGGAAGGGCGGCGTGGGCAAGAGCACATTCGCTGCACAGCTGGCATGGCACCTGGCGCATCAGGACAAGCAGGTCAGGTGGCATGGCAGCAGGTCAGATGCTTGCTGCACCCACCGACCAAGGCAGTGGAGCGTGGCAGAGGCATGTGGTGGACATGCGGGCAGAGGCATGTGGTGGACATGCGGGCAGAGGCACAAATTTTAGCTGTAGTGGACATGAGCAGGTGGGGCCTCGAGTGCTGCTCACCTCATTTCTACTTCCTTCGTATGAGTAGCGAGGCGAGTCGAGTCGAGTCAAGTCGAGTAACATTTGCGGCACGTAGTGATTTCTGTTGGATTGGAGCTGAGTCATGATTTCAGTGCCAAGTGATGATTTCAGTAGCCATTGTGACAGGCGAGTTGTCATTGTGACAGGCGAGTTGTCATTGTGACAGGCGAGTTGTCATTGTGACAGGCGGGTTGTCATTGAGTTGGATTGGATCCACCCGTCTGGTGGGGCTGGAGGGGTAGGAGGCTCACCAGGGCGCCAGCGGGTTTCGGTTATGGCACTGGCACTGGCACTGGCACAACACACCGCCTTGCCACTCCAACCTCTGTCCATCCCCACTAACTCCCCTCCTCCCCAACAACCCCCACCCCCCACAACTCCCCGCCCATCCACCCCCCCACCCCACCCATCCACTTCACCCCCCTATTCCCCCCTCAGGTAGGTCTGCTGGACATTGACATCTGTGGCCCGAGCGTGCCGCGCCTGATGGGGGTGGAGGGGGAGGAGATCCATCAGAGCGCCAGCGGGTGGTCGCCCGTGTACGTGGACGACCGCCTGGGCGTCATGTCCATCGCCTTCATGCTGCCCCACCCCGATGATGCCGTTGTCTGGCGCGGGCCCCGCAAAAACAGCCTCATCAAACAGGTGGGCCCCGCAAAAACAGCCTCATCAAGCAGGCGGGTATGGGGATTGGGGTTTACAGTCACTGCCTCCAGGGGGGTTTCGGGTTAGGGGTTAGGGGCCAGGGGTTAGGGGTTAGGGGTTAGGGGTTAGGGTTTAGGTTCACTGCCTCACTATACTGGTGAGGGGGTGGTCAGTCAGTGCCATGCTCGTGGGCGATGAGCTTCATGCTGCTGTGGATTCAAACAGATGCAACAGGCAAATGTCTGAATGCGTCAATCTCACTGCCTGCCTGCTGAGCTGTCACCTCTGATCTTCCTCGTAATGGTTTGCTTTGCCTACTATAGGGGTAGTCAAATCAAGGGCTGACCCGGGCCTGGTCAGGTCGGCCTTGGGAGATCTGGGGTTTCGGATCTAAACCCCAGCTCCCCTAAGGCCGACCTGACGGGGCCTTTGATCACCCCTTGACCAGGCGCCTGGCGTGTCCAGGCATGGCCCTGTTGCACCGTTTCGGGTGTGTCCACCATTTCGAGCGTGTCCACCATTCCGAGCGTGTCACACTCCCCTGCCATTGCTCCTCCCTCCTTTGTGCTTCCTCCCGCTCTCGTTAAATCCCCGCTCCTGCCCCCTCACCTCCCACACCTCCCCCTCACCTCCCACACCTCCCCCTCACCTCCCACACCTCCCCCTCACCTCCCACACCTCCCCCACACCTCCCCCTCACCTCCCACACCTCCCCCACACCTCCCCCTCACCTCCCACACCTCCCCCTCACCTCCCCCTCACCTCCCTCTCCACGCCCACTTGCCGCCCGTGTGCCGCCCGGCAGTTCCTCAAGGACGTGGACTGGGGCGAGCTGGACTACCTCGTTGTCGACTCGCCGCCCGGCACGTCAGACGAGCACATCTCAGCCGTCCAATTCCTCAAGGCGGCTCACGTGGACGGAGCGATCGTGCTCACCACCCCTCAGGTGAGCTTCTGTGACTCAGGTGAATCACCTCCCCCTCATCCCATGCCTGTGATGCACATCGGTCATTGCCTCCAATTTTCCATGTCCCCCATCCGCCCCACCACCCAGGAGGTATCGCTCATGGATGTGCTCTAGGAGCCGAGCTTCTGTCGCAAGGTCATCACACCCTCACATCCCTGCCCGCCCGTATCCCCATCCCCATCCCCATCCCCATCCCCATCCCCATCCCCATGCTCGTCTCACCCAGGAGGTGTCGCTGATGGATGTGCGCAAGGAGCTGAGTTTCTGTCGCAAGGTCGGCCTCAACGTGCTGGGCGTCGTCGAGAACATGGCGCACCTGCAGGTGAGAACATGGCGCACCTGCAGGTGAGAACATGGCGCACCTGCAGGTGAGAACATGGCGCACCTGCAGGTGAGAACATGGCGCACCTGCAGGTGAGAACATGGCGCACCTGCAGGTGAGAACATGGCGCACCTGCAGGTGAGAACATGGCGCAGCTGCAGGTGAGAACATGGCGCACCTGCAGGTGAGAACATGGCGCACCTGCAGGTGAGAACATGGCGCACCTGCAGGTGAGAACATGGCGCACCTGCAGGTGAGAACATGGCGCACCTGCAGGTGAGAACATGGCGCAGCTGCAGGTGAGAACATGGCGCACCTGCAGGTGAGAACATGGCGCAGCTGCAGGTGAGAACATGGCGCAGCTGCAGGTGAGAACATGGCGCACCTGCAGGTGAGAACATGGCGCACCTGCAGGTGAGAACATGGCGCACCTGCAGGTGAGAACATGGCGCACCTGCAGGTGAGAACATGGCGCACCTGCAGGTGAGAACATGGCGCACCTGCAGGTGAGAACATGGCGCACCTGCAGGTGAGAACATGGCGCACCTGCAGGTGAGAACATGGCGCACCTGCAGGTGAGAACATGGCGCACCTGCAGGTGAGAACATGGCGCACCTGCAGGTGAGAACATGGCGCACCTGCAGGTGAGAACATGGCGCACCTGCAGGTGAGAACATGGCGCACCTGCAGGTGAGAACATGGCGCACCTGCAGGTGAGAACATGGCGCACCTGCAGGTGAGAACATGGCGCACCTGCAGGTGAGAACATGGCGCAGCTGCAGGTGAGAACATGGCGCAGCTGCAGGTGAGAACATGGCGCAGCTGCAGGTGAGAACATGGCGCACCTGCAGGTGAGAACATGGCGCACCTGCAGGTGAGAACATGGCGCACCTGCAGGTGAGAACATGGCGCACCTGCAGGTGAGAACATGGCGCACCTGCAGGTGAGAACATGGCGCACCTGCAGGTGAGAACATGGCGCACCTGCAGGTGAGAACATGGCGCAGCTGCAGGTGAGAACATGGCGCACCTGCAGGTGAGAACATGGCGCAGCTGCAGGTGAGAACATGGCGCACCTGCAGGTGAGAACATGGCGCAGCTGCAGGTGAGAACATGGCGCACCTGCAGGTGAGAACATGGCGCAGCTGCAGGTGAGAACATGGCGCACCTGCAGGTGAGAACATGGCGCAGCTGCAGGTGAGAACATGGCGCACCTGCAGGTGAGAACATGGCGCAGCTGCAGGTGAGAACATGGCGCACCTGCAGGTGAGAACATGGCGCAGCTGCAGGTGAGAACATGGCGCACCTGCAGGTGAGAACATGGCGCAGCTGCAGGTGAGAACATGGCGCACCTGCAGGTGAGAACATGGCGCAGCTGCAGGTGAGAACATGGCGCACCTGCAGGTGAGAACATGGCGCAGCTGCAGGTGAGAACATGGCGCACCTGCAGGTGAGAACATGGCGCAGCTGCAGGTGAGAACATGGCGCACCTGCAGGTGAGAACATGGCGCAGCTGCAGGTGAGAACATGGCGCACCTGCAGGTGAGAACATGGCGCACCTGCAGGTGAGAACATGGCGCACCTGCAGGTGAGAACATGGCGCACCTGCAGGTGAGAACATGGCGCAGCTGCAGGTGAGAACATGGCGCACCTGCAGGTGAGAACATGGCGCACCTGCAGGTGAGAACATGGCGCACCTGCAGGTGAGAACATGGCGCACCTGCAGGTGAGAACATGGCGCACCTGCAGGTGAGAACATGGCGCACCTGCAGGTGAGAACATGGCGCACCTGCAGGTGAGAACATGGCGCACCTGCAGGTGAGAACATGGCGCACCTGCAGGTGAGAACATGGCGCACCTGCAGGTGAGAACATGGCGCACCTGCAGGTGAGAACATGGCGCACCTGCAGGTGAGAACATGGCGCACCTGCAGGTGAGAACATGGCGCACCTGCAGGTGAGAACATGGCGCACCTGCAGGTGAGAACATGGCGCACCTGCAGGTGAGAACATGGCGCACCTGCAGGTGAGAACATGGCGCACCTGCAGGTGAGAACATGGCGCACCTGCAGGTGAGAACATGGCGCACCTGCAGGTGAGAACATGGCGCACCTGCAGGTGAGAACATGGCGCACCTGCAGGTGAGAACATGGCGCAGCTGCAGGTGAGAACATGGCGCAGCTGCAGGTGAGAACATGGCGCAGCTGCAGGTGAGAACATGGCGCACCTGCAGGTGAGAACATGGCGCACCTGCAGGTGAGAACATGGCGCACCTGCAGGTGAGAACATGGCGCACCTGCAGGTGAGAACATGGCGCACCTGCAGGTGAGAACATGGCGCACCTGCAGGTGAGAACATGGCGCACCTGCAGGTGAGAACATGGCGCAGCTGCAGGTGAGAACATGGCGCACCTGCAGGTGAGAACATGGCGCAGCTGCAGGTGAGAACATGGCGCACCTGCAGGTGAGAACATGGCGCAGCTGCAGGTGAGAACATGGCGCACCTGCAGGTGAGAACATGGCGCAGCTGCAGGTGAGAACATGGCGCACCTGCAGGTGAGAACATGGCGCAGCTGCAGGTGAGAACATGGCGCACCTGCAGGTGAGAACATGGCGCAGCTGCAGGTGAGAACATGGCGCACCTGCAGGTGAGAACATGGCGCAGCTGCAGGTGAGAACATGGCGCACCTGCAGGTGAGAACATGGCGCAGCTGCAGGTGAGAACATGGCGCACCTGCAGGTGAGAACATGGCGCAGCTGCAGGTGAGAACATGGCGCACCTGCAGGTGAGAACATGGCGCAGCTGCAGGTGAGAACATGGCGCACCTGCAGGTGAGAACATGGCGCAGCTGCAGGTGAGAACATGGCGCACCTGCAGGTGAGAACATGGCGCAGCTGCAGGTGAGAACATGGCGCACCTGCAGGTGAGAACATGGCGCACCTGCAGGTGAGAACATGGCGCACCTGCAGGTGAGAACATGGCGCAGCTGCAGGCAGGTGATGTCACGTCCCCTTCTCCCTGCAGCTTTTCTCCCTGCAGCTTTTCTCCCTGCAGCTTTTCTCCCTGCAGCTTTTCTCCCTGCAGCTTTTCTCCCTGCAGCTTTTCTCCCTGCAGCTTTTCTCCCTGCAGCTTTTCTCCCTGCAGCTTTTCTCCCTGCAGCTTTTCTCCCTGCAGCTTTTCTCCCTGCAGCTTTTCTCCCTGCAGCTTTTCTCCCTGCAGCTTTTCTCCCTGCAGCTTTTCTCCCTGCAGCTTTTCTCCCTGCAGCTTTTCTCCCTGCAGCTTTTCTCCCTGCAGCTTTTCTCCCTGCAGCTTTTCTCCCTGCAGCTTTTCTCCCTGCAGCTTTTCTCCCTGCAGCTTTTCTCCCTGCAGCTTTTCTCCCTGCAGCTTTTCTCCCTGCAGCTTTTCTCCCTGCAGCTTTTCTCCCTGCAGCTTTTCTCCCTGCAGCTTTTCTCCCTGCAGCTTTTCTCCCTGCAGCTTTTCTCCCTGCAGCTTTTCTCCCTGCAGCTTTTCTCCCTGCAGCTTTTCTCCCTGCAGCTTTTCTCCCTGCAGCTTTTCTCCCTGCAGCTTTTCTCCCTGCAGCTTTTCTCCCTGCAGCTTTTCTCCCTGCAGCTTTTCTCCCTGCAGCTTTTCTCCCTGCAGCTTTTCTCCCTGCAGCTTTTCTCCCTGCAGCTTTTCTCCCTGCAGCTTTTCTCCCTGCAGCTTTTCTCCCTGCAGCTTTTCTCCCTGCAGCTTTTCTCCCTGCAGCTTTTCTCCCTGCAGCTTTTCTCCCTGCAGCTTTTCTCCCTGCAGCTTTTCTCCCTGCAGCTTTTCTCCCTGCAGCTTTTCTCCCTGCAGCTTTTCTCCCTGCAGCTTTTCTCCCTGCAGCTTTTCTCCCTGCAGCTTTTCTCCCTGCAGCTTTTCTCCCTGCAGCTTTTCTCCCTGCAGCTTTTCTCCCTGCAGCTTTTCTCCCTGCAGCTTTTCTCCCTGCAGCTTTTCTCCCTGCAGCTTTTCTCCCTGCAGCTTTTCTCCCTGCAGCTTTTCTCCCTGCAGCTTTTCTCCCTGCAGCTTTTCTCCCTGCAGCTTTTCTCCCTGCAGCTTTTCTCCCTGCAGCTTTTCTCCCTGCAGCTTTTCTCCCTGCAGCTTTTCTCCCTGCAGCTTTTCTCCCTGCAGCTTTTCTCCCTGCAGCTTTTCTCCCTGCAGCTTTTCTCCCTGCAGCTTTTCTCCCTGCAGCTTTTCTCCCTGCAGCTTTTCTCCCTGCAGCTTTTCTCCCTGCAGCTTTTCTCCCTGCAGCTTTTCTCCCTGCAGCTTTTCTCCCTGCAGCTTTTCTCCCTGCAGCTTTTCTCCCTGCAGCTTTTCTCCCTGCAGCTTTTCTCCCTGCAGCTTTTCTCCCTGCAGCTTTTCTCCCTGCAGCTTTTCTCCCTGCAGCTTTTCTCCCTGCAGCTTTTCTCCCTTCTGAATGGTGCTCTCGTCTCACTGCACCCATTGTCTCACTGCACCCATTGTCTCACTGCACCCATTGCCTCACTGCACCCATTGCCTCACTGCACCCATTGCCTCACTGCACCCATTGCCTCACTGCACCCATTGTCTCACTGCACCCATTGCCTCACTGCACCCATTGCCTCACTGCACCCATTGCCTCACTGCACCCATTGCCTCACTGCACCCATTGTCTCACTGCACCCATTGCCTCACTGCACCCATTGCCTCACTGCACCCATTGCCTCACTGCACCCATTGCCTCACTGCACCCATTCCCTCACTGCACCCATTGTCTCACTGCACCCATTGCCTCACTGCACCCATTGCCTCACTGCACCCATTGCCTCACTGCACCCATTGCCTCACTGCACCCATTGTCTCACTGCACCCATTGCCTCACTGCACCCATTGCCTCACTGCACCCATTGCCTCACTGCACCCATTGCCTCACTGCACCCATTGTCTCACTGCACCCATTGCCTCACTGCACCCATTGCCTCACTGCACCCATTGTCTCACTGCACCCATTGCCTCACTGCACCCATTGCCTCACTGCACCCATTGTCTCACTGCACCCATTGCCTCACTGCACCCATTGCCTCACTGCAAGCATTGTCACGTTTACTGTTCAGGTGTTACCTTAACTTCATTTAGGGGTGAGCAACAGCCGAACTCGAACTTGTTCCGCCCCAACAGTTTTGAATGCTTGAGCTAGTTGAACCCAACTCGAACTCATTGTTGAATGAGGTCATTGTTGAACGAGGTCATTGTTGAATCACTACCTCTAATCTCATTCCTATTTGTGTGTCCCTGGTCACACGGGTATCTAATCAAACACCGAGGTGTTGGACTCGGCTCGACCGCTTTAATTGAGCCAAGCGTTATTAGAGTCGAACATTTTCGGGGCAACTGAACTGGCTTCGCCAAGTTGCACTTGTCCAGATTCTACCATTGATCCTCCCTGCTCCATCCCTGCTTGTACTCTCCTCTCCACCCCCCTGTGCTGCCATTCCTTACTTGCTTTCACCTGCCCCACCTGCCCCACCTGCCCCACCTGCCTCCCTCCCTTCCCTTGCGTCCTGCAGGTGCCTCTCTCTGCTGTGCGCTTCTCCCACCACCCCACTCACACCGCCACATCAGCTGCCACGTCAGCTGCCAGCATGGCGACAGAAGGAGCCTCCGACACGCATGCAAGCAGCGCCAGCAACACGAGCGATCCAGCAGGGGAGGGGGGGGGCGAGGATGTGACGGCCCGAGTGATGGAGGCACTGAAAGCGGTATGCTGAGCTGAGCTGAGCTGAGCTGAGCTGAGCTGAGCTGAGCTGAACGCAAAGACACGTACAGCAGCTCAAACGCACGTCACATGCACGTCACCGCTAGCGGGTAGGTGGGGAAGGGGAGGGCGGGGAGTGGAGATATCTGGGGAGATGGAGGGCCCTCGTAAAGTCCACTCATGCTGTTACCCACTCACACTGTTATCCATTGATGTTGTTGTCTACACCTCCTCCCAAACTCACAGTTTCCTGGAATACCCAGTGTCCTCTGTAGACCCAAAACCCTTTTTCCTCTTCCTTCTTCCCTCGCTCCCCCTCTTCCTCCTGCCTACCGCTCCCCACTCTCCTCTCTCTTCCCCTTCCTCCCTCCGTCCAGCTCTTCCCCGGCACACTGCGAGTGCAGGCGGACATGTTCCATGTGCAGGGTAGCACAGGGGGGGGCGAGGCCATGGCAGCAGCCATGAGAGTGCCCTTCCTCGCCTCGTGTCTGCCTGTCGTCACAGTTTTATGCATGCCCCCCCCCCCCCTCCTCTTTTCCTCCCTTCCTCCATCCAGCTCTTCCCCAGTGGATTACAAGTGCAGGCGGACATGTTCCACGTGGGCAGCACAGGGGGAGGCGAGGCCATGGCAGCAGCCATGGGAGTGCCCTTCCTGGGTCGCGTGCCCTTCGACCCCTCGCTGGGCCGTGCCGCCGAGGAGGGGCGCTCTGCTGCTCCTGACCACGGCGACGACGCCGCTGCAGCTGCTGGTGGTATCTGTGTTGCTGCTGCAGCTGCTGGTGGTGTTGGCAGGGATGGTGGAGCAGCGAATGGGGGCGTGCGGAAGGTGGAGGGGCTGTCACCGGGTGCAGCTGCGCTGGGGCGGATATTTGACAGGATTGTGGCCACTGTTGAGAGCAGCAACTGCAGATGATGAGTGAGTGGACTCATTAGACGAGACTAGCCCAGGCAATGAGAGCAGCAACAGCAAGACTGACACGAGCCTGCTGAGAGGATGCACCTCCCAAGACTTGCACTGAGGTAGTGGTATAGTAGGTGGTGGTGGCGCATCTCCTGCGGGAATAAGATGTGTGGTGTAGCCACCTAAAAGCCTGTCAATGGCAGGAACAAATCAATGCAGTGGTTGTGTAGGGGTGTACACATTTTGTAATGGTAAATTTTTTTCTAAATTTTTTTCTAAATTTTTTTCTAAGAGTGGTAGAACTTGTTAGATTATATATATAACTGCATGTAACTTAACTAGTGTAGTATCACTGTAGATTCTCTATTGTTTGTGGTGTAAACGAATCAGTGTTGCAAATGAGTATCAAACTTGTTCCAATACCGTACTGTCGTCCACTGATTTCGCCGGACTCCTCTACCCACATGTACGGTATGCAATGCACCCTACAGAACAATGATATTGGTCCATAGTGTGTGTAATGTCACTTTCAAGGATGAAGATAGAGAAGTCCCTTGTACACCAGGCCCCAGGTGCCTTAACTTTGCCATGGAAGCTTAAATCTTCTTCGCATACGTTAAAGTGGGGCTTTCAGCTATGAATGAATAAAAATATGAACTAAATCACAATGCAAGTTAGAAGAAAACAGCTGGCTCCCTAAACTCAGGCCGGTCAATGTTGCATTCGTTACAAGGATACGCACAGTCAACCAATTTGGCTTCTGCCCCATCATTATCCTCTTCGCCAAGCCAGCGAGTGAACGCCTGAGCCAGTGTCTGCCACAAGAAACCCACACAAGGAGCAGAGGCAGAGACAGTACAGGCGGCAGAGTTGGTTGAAGAGGCAGTGCGAGTGGGCGAGGAGGCAGCAGTGGTTGCAAGTGCGCAAGACGGTGCTCTGTGCATTTGAGTAACACCCCCTTAATCTCCCACTCCTATCTATTGCAACTCTTCCCGCTCTTCCTCGTTCCTCTCTTCGCCCCCTCCCTTCCCGCTTCTCTTTTGCCTCCCACCCCCTCCCCCTCTCCCTCCCCCCCCCCCCCCCCAAACCCCCTACCTCCTGCTTGTCCTCTCCGTCACTCCTTTTGTCCCAATTGTCACACTACACCTGGGAAAACAAACGAGAAATGACTCACATGATTGGCAACGGTCAGCTGCGACCAGAGGTCATTGTGGTAGGTGGCGCAGTGGGCGAAGCAGGAGTAGAAGAAGACCCCGTGGGGGTCACTTGCTGCCAGGAAGGGCTGCCATGACTCCAGCAGCGCCTGGCGAAAATCTGCAGTTTATAGCGGAAAATGGGTGTAGCAAGTGTGGAGAGTGGGTGTGTCAAGAGAGGAGGGTGGGTGCAACAAGGTGACAGTGGTTGCTGCAAAAAGTAAATTGCCAGGCACAGGAATAGCTTGCACAGGAATAGCTTGCACTCGCATTGTCGGACACACCTTGAATGAGGGTCAGCTGGGATGCTGTGCAAGAGCGCACTCGATACAGGCAGTTTCGTAGCAGGTCACCAGAAGGGTCCGCATCCTCATTGGCTAGCAGAGCCAGCAGCTGTGGCAAAGGGAAGAGTGTACGTGTTCACATGTGTACAGCCGTAGACGCAATTTAGGTATTACGATAATGGGGGAGAGAGATGGGTTGTTGCTCTTCGGCCTTGGTAGCCTAGGGGAAGTGCAGCGGGGCATGTATGGCAGAGCAGTGGGGCATGTATGGCAGAGCAGTGGGGCATGTATGGCAGAGCAGTGGGGCATGTATGGCAGAGCAGTGGGGCATGTTGGGCAGTTCATTGACAGAGTTGCAAAGGGGTACTAATGGAGGGAAACCAACTAAGGGTGGAAAAATGGTGAAGAGAAATGATGGGAGAGTGGTTGGGTGGGTTGGAGGGCGGTGGGTGTGTACATTCCAGGAGTCGTAGTTGCTGTTGACCATGAACACTCTGCTGCTCACATACGCCATGGCGTGGTGAGCAAACATGCACTGCAGCACACATACACACACACACATGGAGAAGACCATTGAGTCAGCTTGAGTCACCAGCATGCACTGCACCCACAGAAAGCAACTGCGACATGTTCCTTGGATGGAAACAGCTGTGCGGAGAGCAACAGCTGAATGTGAGAGGCATGCTCCTTGCACCACATGTGAGAGGCATGCTCCTCGCACCACATGTGAGAGGCATGCTCCTCGCACCACATGTGAGAGGCATGCTCCTCGCACCACATGTGAGAGCCATGCTCCTCGCACCACATGTGAGAGGCATGGTCTCTCACCTCCTCCTACATGTGACACACATGCGCTCTCACCTTCTCCCACATGCGCGAGGCATTCTCTCACACCTCGTATTGCAGGTGCAGAGGGCGGGCACTGATGCAGTGCTCGCTCACCCCCCCTGCCATGTGCTGCACCGCACCACACCGCACCAAACCCCACCCGAACTCCACGTTAACAACCATTGTTCAGCGTGGGGCTACGGCAGAGGCGGGAAAGAAGAGAGAGGCAAGGGGACAGGGTGGGGAGGCGACAGGGAGGAGGGGATAGGGTGGAGAGGGGAGCGAACATACACAGACAACTGGCATCGATTAGATATGGTGTTTAATAACAGAGCGAGGAACATTAAAAGATGAAGGAAAGAAACTCGAAACAGATAAGTGGTGTCAAGAAATCTGAGACAGAAAATTGGTGTCAAGATATTGTTCGTGTGCGGGGCAAGAGGGTGTGATGTGACAGGGGGAAGGAGGTGCGAGGGGAACAGGAGGGTGCGAGGGGAACAGGAGGGTGCGAGGGGAACAGGAGGGTGCGAGGGGAAGAGGAGGGTGGGGGGGCATGACTTGGAAACGGAAGACAGACTGAAAGAGCTCCCTTGCAGTTGACCGCCCACCCAAGTCCTGTCTGAAGGGGGCAGCAGAAGCAAGGGAACGAGGAAAGAAGAGCGAGGTAGGCGGTGGTCGTACGTGAGACACCACGGATCATCACTCACTCACAGAACGATTAATAAGATGAGAAAACGCACAGCACACTCAGAAAGTAGGCCTTTTTTGAAGCAAACACTACACAAAGAACACTTGAAGAGAGATTAAATTGAACCAATCCCCAACCTCCCCCCCCCCCATGGGATTGTTGGTGGTGGCTTGAAGGAAAGTAACTTGGTACGTGGGGGGTATCTGAGAAGGTGGGGGATACCTGAGAAGGTGGGGGATACCTGAGAAGGTGGGGGATACCTGAGAAGGTGGGGGAGGAGCATGTGAGTGCATGCAGGAAAGGGAAGGGAGGCACCTGTGGAGGAAGATGGCGGCATCGGGCAGGCAGGCGTAGGCAGAGGGGGGCAGGGTGGGGAAGAAGGCGGCTCTGATGTGGTCGCAGTGCAGCAGCGCTGCCAGCCCCCCGGCAGAGCACCCCGACACCACCACCTGCTGGCACGGGAAGAGGGGGGGAGGGGGGGGGGGGGTTCAAATGTGAGGGTGGGGTTAGGTGTGTGGTTGCAGGTTTGTCAGTGCAGGAGAGCCACCAGCCCACTGGCAGAGCAGCCGGACACCATCACCAGCTGACACGGGGAGTGTGGGTGTGTGGGTGTGGGGAGTGTGGGTGTGTGGGTGTGTGGGTGTGTGGGTGTGTGGGTGTGTGGGTGTGTGGGTGTGTGGGTGTGTGGGTGTGTGGGTGTGTGGGTGTGTGGGTGTGTGGGTGTGTGGGTGTGTGGGTGTGTGGGTGTGTGGGTGTGTGGGTGTGTGGGTGTGTGGGTGTGTGGGTGTGTGGGTGTGTGGGTGTGTGGGTGTGTGGGTGTGTGGGTGTGTGGGTGTGTGGGTGTGTGGGTGTGTGGGTGTGTGGGTGTGTGGGTGTGTGGGTGTGTGGGTGTGTGGGTGTGTGGGTGTGTGGGTGTGTGGGTGTGTGGGTGTGTGGGTGTGTGGGTGTGTGGGTGTGTGGGTGTGTGGGTGTGTGGGTGTGTGGGTGTGTGGGTGTGTGGGTGTGTGGGTGTGTGGGTGTGTGGGTGTGTGGGTGTGTGGGTGTGTGGGTGTGTGGGTGTGTGGGTGTGTGGGTGTGTGGGTGTGTGGGTGTGTGGGTGTGTGGGTGTGTGGGAGTGTGGGAGTGTGGGTGTGTGGGTGTGTGGG